GTGGCTTTCTAAATACCTTTCTTGTGGCTTTCTAAATACCTTTCTTTTGGCTTTCTAAATACCTTTCTTGTGGCTTTCTAAATACCTTTCTTGTGGCTTTCTAAATACCTTTCTTGTGGCTTTCTAAATACCTTTCTTGTGGCTTTCTAAATACCTTTCTTGTGGCTTTCTAAACACCTTTCTTGTGGCTTTCTAAACACCTTGTGGCTTTCTAAGCACCTTTCTTGTGGCTTTCTAAGCACCTTTCTTGTGGCTTTCTAAGCACCTTTCTCTCTTTTCATATTAGACTATTTGTAAACACAGTGATTTTCTCCTCTTCTTATGCTCCTATACATTTCCCTTCTCTCCCAAGATATGTTCTAGCCTCTTCATCAATTTGGCATCAATTCTGATTGATGTACTTTCATTCTGGTAATATATATATATATATATATATATATATATATATATATATATATATATATATATATATATATATATATATATATATATATATATATATATAACCACAGGGGGAGTTCAGTGATAGCTCTAGGCCTTTCGTGTTGCAATCAACGCATCATCAGGAGCTTGCAATGTTACTTTAAATGCTAATCTGGTCACCTTAAATGCCGATCTGGTTTTAAATGCTAATCTGGTGTTGTTTATCAGGTGCTAGTGTTTCTGGGTCTGGTCGCCCTGGTTGCTGCACGACCAGACAAGGACCTTGATGACGACTTCCACCAAGAACAGAACATCGATGATGATAACACCATCACTGGATCATACAGGTGGGTCTTATAACCTGTTGTTCAGTGGAACACTGCTAGTTTTAGATGTAGCAGTGTTATTCCCCGTGTTCTAGAAAACAACGGTGTTATTCTGTGTTCTTATTAGCTAGCTCTAGACACCAACATTATCCCTTGTGTTCTTACTGGCTAGCTCTAGAAACCAACAGTTATCCCCTGTGTTCTCTAGAACGTTGTTCAGAAGAACAGTGCTAGTTCTAGAAACCATCGATGTTATCCCCTGTGTTCTCTAGAACGTTGTTCAAAAGAACAGTACTAGTTCTAGAAACCATCGATGTTATCCCCTGTGTTCTCACTCTAGAACGTTGTTCAGAAGAACAGTGCTAGTTCTAGAAACCATCGATGTTATCCCCTGTGTTCTCTAGAACGTTGTTCAGAAGAACAGTACTAGTTCTAGAAACCATCGATGTTATCCCCTGTGTTCTCACTCTGGGTCAGGGTCCTCAAACTTGTCAACACATCGACCCCAAAGTATTTAATATCTAAGAATAATTAAATAAATAGCACTTCTATGCTATTACAAATAACAGCAATAGATAATAGTCTTATAAAAGTTAGATATTTGAACAATCTTTTACTAAAACTCTAATAAATATAAAATATGGTGACTGATGTTTGGTAATGAGAGGGACGCATCTGGTGGTCTCTATCCACTCTAGTGATTAATTAATGGTCTATATTGGAGTGTAACGTATGCCTATGTTTATCCTATGTGCGGGTTATTTGTGTATTGTGTGTGTGTATCCTCCCCGGGAGAGGGGAGATGAGAGATAAGGGGGAGAGTGGAAGGTCACGGATTGATACATTACGCTGGTAGAAGCCATTTTCCTTCGGTAGCCAGAGACAGGTTTGTTGTCGGGGGGTTATAGGGCCACTGATAGTATACGCCGTATCGAGCCCAGACGGGCCATGTTGTAGTGGTTTATAGGGCCACTGACAGCATAAGCTGTATCGAGCCCAGACGGGCCATGTTGTAGTGGTTTATAGGGCCACTGACAGCATAAGCCGTATCGAGCCCAGACTGGTCATGGCAGAGCATGAGACCCGTGCCAGGACCTCGAGCTTGGCGATCCCTATACATTTACTTACCCCTCTTTTTACCCCTAGCCATTTATCCACCCCAGTTACAGTCCCATCGACCCTTACGGGTTGATACAGACCACTTTTGGGGGTCCTTGTAAGTCTAGAATGCTGGTCAGTAAAGCAGTGTTAGTTCTAGGAACCAAAATGTGGTGTCACCGTGTGTTCTAACACCTTCCTTCTTTGCAGCTGGACTTCACCCGAAGGGGTTGAGTACTTCGTGAAGTACATCGCTGACGGTGATGGCTACCGTGTCTTGGAGTCCAACGCTGTGCCTGTCACCGCTGACGGCGTCAGAGCTGACGGCACCCAGGGATCCTTCACTTCCTCCGAGGAAGATAGGAAGTAGTGGGACTCACCCCTAAGATAACCTGCGATATCCTATGATGTCCTACGATGTCCTACGATAGTCTATGATGTCTCTGATAGACTTGTGATGTCCTACGATAGCCCTGCGATGCTCTACGATATTCTACGATAACCTGCTATGCCCATCGATATCCTACGACATTCTACGATATCCTTCAACATCCCATGACATCCTACGATATCCTTAAACATCCTATGACATCCTACGATATCCTTCAACATCCTAAGACATCCTACGATATCCTAAGGGCCTCAAACAGTGCCTAAGTGTACCTAAGAGTATCTAATATCTCCTTAATGGAGCTCCAACCCTTTACTCTAAGGGGTAAGGGATAGTACCCCTTACCCCTTATTTCCCAGAATTACTTAAATTCTCGCCCCTGAAATATTAAGTATTTAATATTATTTATTAATTTATAAGGAATTTTTATGAGAAATAAAAGTTAATATTTTTGTCTGTGTATTTTTTACTACCTGACGCAAGCGAGATACTGGAGGAGCACTGCAGGAGGACTACTGGCACATACAAGGCAGGTCCTTATCAAAACCACCGCTACCCAGAGTAGTGATGTATCGGATATCCGCATCCGCGGAACATCCGCACGAGTTCTTACATCCGCATCTGCATCCGCATTTTGCTATAAACAGATATCCGCACCTGAATCTGCGGAACATCCGCACGAGTTCTTACATCCGTATTCGCATCCGCAAAACGAGTGAAACATCGTCATGCGCATCCATGGAACATCCGCACGAGTTCTTACATCTGTATCCGCATCCGCAAAACGAGTGAAACGTCGTCATGCGCATCCATGGAACATCCGCACGAGTTCTTACATCCGTATCCGCATCCGCAAAACGAGTGAAACGTCGTCATGCGCATCCGCAGAACATCCGCACAATTTCTTACATCCGTATCCGCATCCACAAAATAAGACATCGTCATACACATCCGCATCCACGGATATCTAAATTTTCACATCCGATACATCTCGAACCCAAAGCTGCCAAAGGTTCTAGCGTTCTAAAGGACAAAGGCAGCAGAGACTCCAAAGGAAGAGCCGTTGTTGTCGTATATTGTTATGTCAAAAGTGGAACTGAGCCGCGGGGGCGTCGACCCCTGAAACCTTCTCCAGGTATACTCCAGGTATTGCTAGCTCGATGGCTAGTACACTCAGCTCACACACTGAGGTCCAGGGTTCGAATCTCCTCTGGTACGGCTGGAAAACATTACGGACGTGTTTCCATAAGATACCTGCTGTCTATGTTCACCCATCAGTGTAAAATAGGTACCTGGGTGTTAGGTGACTGGTGTGGGTGGCATCCTGGGGACAAAACTGACCTAATTTGTGTGAAATATTCTATGTCATAGGTGTCAGCTTTGGTCTTTATAAGTTGTATCACGTACTGGTAGCAAATAAAATATTATTAAAATACTGACTCCAGGATGAGGGACTGATTACCTCAGACTCCTACTGACCTTCACCATCCTTCTTTGTATAGGACTGATGAAGTCACTGTGTTTAATTTATCACCTTGTTGGTTCTCTGAACCATTTACTAACAACCTCTCGTGCTCATGTATTTATCTAACCTGAATTCGAAGCTACCGAAGGTTTTAGCTTCAATAACACTGCTAGGTAGACTCACTACTAGGTTTTACCTGGAGTTTACCTGGAGAGGGTTTCGGGGGTCAACGCCCCCGCTGCTCGGTTTGAAACCAGGCCTCATGGTGGATCAGAGTCTGATTAACCAGGTTGCTACTGCTGGCCGCACGCAAACTGACGTACGAACCACAGCCCGGTTGGTCAAGTACTGACTATAGGTGCTTGTCCAGTGCCTGCTTGAAGACAACCAGGGGTCTTGAAGACAACCAGAGGTCTTGAAGACAACCAGGGGTCTTGAAGACAACCAGGGGTCTTGAAGACAACCAGGAGTCTTGAAGACAACCAGGGGTCTTAAAGACAACCAGAGGTCTTGAAGACAACCAGAGGTCTTGAAGACAACCAGGGGTCTTGAAGACAACCAGGGGTCTTGAAGACAACCAGGAGTCTTGAAGACAACCAGGGGTCTTGAAGACAACCAGAGGTCTTGAAGACAACCAGGGGTCTTGAAGACAACCAGGGGTCTTGAAGACAACCAGGGATCTTGAAGACAACCAGAGGTCTTGAAGACAACCAGAGGTCTTGAAGACAACCAGGAGTCTTGAAGACAACCAGAGGTCTTGAAGACAACCAGAGGCCTTGAAGACAACCAGGAGTCTTGAAGACAACCAGGAGTCTTGAAGACAACCAGAGGTCTTGAAGACAACCAGAGGTATTGAAGACAACCAGGGGTCTTGAAGACAACCAGGGGTCTTGAAGACAACCAGGAGTCTTGAAGACAACCAGGAGTCTTGAAGACAACCAGAGGTCTTGAAGACAACCAGAGGTCTTGAAGACAACCAGGAGTCTTGAAGACAACCAGGAGTCTTGAAGACAACCAAGAGTCTTGAAGACAACCAGGAGTCTTGAAGACAACCAGGAGTCTTGAAGACAACCAGGAGTCTTGAAGACAACCAGGAGTCTTGAAGACAACCAGGAGTCTTGAAGACAACCAGGGACCTTGAAGACAACCAGGAGTCTTGAAGACAACCAGGGACCTTGAAGACAACCAGGAGTCTTGAAGACAACCAGGATTCTTGAAGACAACCAGGAGTCTTGAAGACAACCAGGAGTCTTGAAGACAACCAGGAGTCTTGAAGACAACCAGGAGTCTTGAAGACAACCAGGAGTCTTGAAGACAACCAGGAGTCTTGAAGACAACCAGGAGTCTTGAAGACAACCAGGAGTCTTGAAGACAACCACGAGTCTTGAAGACAGCCAGGAGTCTTGAAGACAACCAGGAGTCTTGAAGACAACCAGGAACCTTGAAGACAACCAGGAGTCTTGAAGACAACCAGGAGTCTTGAAGACAACCAGGAGTCTTGAAGACAACCAGGGACCTTGAAGACAACCAGGAGTCTTGAAGACAACCAGGGACCTTGAAGACAACCAGGAGTCTTGAAGACAACCAGGAGTCTTGAAGACAACCAGGAGTCTTGAAGACAACCAGGAGTCTTGAAGACAACCAGGAGTCTTGAAGACAACCAGGAGTCTTGAAGACAACCAGGAGTCTTGAAGACAACCAGGAGTATTGAAGACAACCAGGGACCTTGAAGACAACCAGGAGTCTTGAAGACAACCAGGGACCTTGAAGACAACCAGGAGTCTTGAAGACAACCAGGAGTTTTGAAGACAACCAGGGGTCTTGAAGACAACCAGAGGTCTTGAAGACAACCAGGGGTCTTGAAGACAACCAGGGATCTTGAAGACAACCAGGGGTCTTGAAGACAACCAGGGGTCTTGAAGACAACCAGGGTCCTTGAAGACAACCAGGAGTCTTGAAGACAACCAGGGGTCTTGACAACCAGGAGTCTTGAAGACAACCAGGGGTCTTGAAGACAACCAGGAGTCTTGAAGACAACCAGGGGTCTTGAAGACAACCAGGGGTCTTGAAGACAACCAGGGGTCTTGACAACCAGGAGTCTTGAAGACAACCAGGGGTCTTGAAGACAACCAGGAGTCTTGAAGACAACCAGGGGTCTTGAAGACAACCAGGGGTCTTGAAGACAACCAGGGGTCTTGAAGACAACCAGGGGTCTTGAAGACAACCAGGGGTCTTGAAGACAACCAGGAGTCTTGAAGACAACCAGGGGTCTTGAAGACAACCAGGGGTCTTGAAGACAACCAGGGGTCTTGAAGACAACCAGGGATCTTGAAGACTGTCAAGGATCTATTGGGGTATGTATGGTGGGAGGCAGTTGAACAGTCTTGGTCCCCTGACACTGTGTTGTCTCTCAGTGTACTCGTGGCACCGCTACTTATCATTGTGTTAATGTTACATCTCCTGTCCAGTCTTTTGATGTCATAGGCAGTGATTTCTGTGTGCAAGTTTGGTACTAATTCCTCTAAGAGTTTCCAAGTGTATATTATCAAGTATCTTTCTCGCCTGCGTTCCAGGGAGTACAGGTGAAGGACCTTCAACCGTTCCCAGTTATTTAGGTGCCTTATCGTACTTATGTGTGCCTTGAAAGTTCTCTGTACATTCTCCAGGTTAGCAATTTCACCAGCGTTGAAGGGGGCAGCTAGTATACAGCAATATTCCAGCCTAGAGAGAACAAGCGATTGGAAGAGAATCATCATGGGCTTGGCGTCCCTAGTCTTGAAGGTTCTCATTATCCATCCTATTATTTTCCTGGCAGATGTGTTAGATACATTATTGTGATGTTTGATGGCGAGATCCTATACTGTTCCACTCATCAACTACTCTATTTCCAAACCAGTACTTTCCTATATCGTTTCTAAATTTAAATTAGTCATATTTAAATCCATTATTTCGGGTTCTTGAAGGGACATCCTCAGGACGTTATTTATGTCCCCTTTGTTAAGGGCAGTCTTCCGTTATACTTCGGTCATGTCTTCCCTCTGTCTTCGTCTTACAAGACACTAGTTGAAATGACTTCAGTCTTCGTAATAATGTTGGTAGAATTACGGCCAATATGTTGGGTAAAAGGGCACAAGGGTAACTAGTGTGACATTTCCTTCTGGCTTTGTTAAGGCAGTACAAACAATACGGTTTTGGTTTGGTTGATTCGTCAGGAAGTGCGTCCTGACGAGGGTGTTAATCCTAAGACGATCCGTCTGAGGATCTCGGAGATGCCGATGTGATTCAGGTGTTCCAGGGCCTTGATCAGGGTCTTGCTATAGTCCCTCATGGGTTCCACTGCGAAACATGTTATGCTCAAGAACTGGGTGAGGCATCAAGCTTACTATGCATCGAGAGGCATGTCTAGTGGGTAGGGTATTAGTATGCCTTTTGATACCCTCTCTATGGATTTAAGTTCCGTTAGGTCAAGGGGCGATTAGAAGTCGTTCACCTTCTGGAACACTATCTTCAGGCCATATTTCTTCTGGAGGTGAATTATAGCAGGATACTGGGCATCGTGGTATCCTTTGTTTATCAATCTGAATGTGTTGTCTGATGGTCTGGCTTCCCGATCTGAGACAAGGTAACGTTGTGTCTCCTTTGGGACTTCGGGGCACCTGCTGCCTGACAGCCTTTTCCATCCTATACATCTATGGTTGGGATGCGTGCTGCATCCCTCTCTCATTTCCCAGGCTGGTTCCTTGCAGCATCTTCGTGGGAACTGTATCCTACATTTCCCAGTTGGATTCCGAGGCTAA